AAAAGGCTCATTGCGCCCGCCTGTATCCAGGATCGGCTGGCCTGGGAACGCCTTGGCATTCCCCCGGAGGAGCTAGAGGAAGTGTCTGGAGAGAGGGAAGTCTGGGCATCTTTGCTTAGACTGCTGCCCCCGAGACCCGGTCCCGGATAAGCGGAAGAAAATGGATGGATGATATATATACATACACATACTTGAAGAAGATTGAAGTCCTTGGTATATATGTGGAGTTTCCAGTGTGGCATCCAGTGGTGGTATAGGACTCTTCATTGTGTTACTGGAGCTCTCTTAAGTGTTTCCTGTGACTCTTGAAAGCATTTCACAGGTCTTGCATGTGGTCCTAGGGGCCCTCTGAAGGGTCTCTGAGGTGGAGGTTGAAGTAGTACTGGAGGTCCTTGAAGTTCTTGGCATCTTTGAACAGTTTCCATAGGACACTGAAAGGATTTAAATGTATGGCTTCAGTGTTGCTTGAAGAACATTGAGGACTTGTAATGTTGTATTGGTAGTTGTTCACATTGTCTTTTGAGGGTTTTAAAGGTATGTATCGGTCTGAAGGGAACTAGGCAGAGGTTCAAGCCTTCACTTGATCTCTAAGCATTTCTAACATCCACATTCAGAGCTTCTTGAGTCTAGGACTTCTTAAAGAGCTTGTATAAGATTGTATATAAGTTGAATCATGTCACTGCTATGCAGATGATGGTCTCTTTAGACCACGAAAGGTTTAAAAATGGTTTATTTTCCATGGCTGCCTAGATGCACTAAAACAAGGATGGATGATCATGTTCTACAGCTGAAGCAGGTCCTCCTCCTTCGCCCCTGTCAGTGCTGACCCTTGGTTCCCTCTACTCGTGCAAAATTCCTTCCCTATAAATATCACGGTGGAGTTTAAGGTCTCTTTCCTACTACAGTGGAACTCCCAGTTCCCCCTGGATTATCTACAACTAGTCCAAAATGCTGCTACAGAACGTTTGCCCTGGTCTTCAGACAGGTCTCACTCAAAAAATTTATGTCCTCTCTGCTTGGATGGGAGCAAGAGTTAAAGGCAGTTTAAAGGTCAGGGCTAGAGAGCAGCCAGCAGATTTATGCTGGCAGACTGTGTTTCCCTGCAGCACCTGGTCAGTCACATGAACAGGGGCTCCCAGAGGGCTGCTCGCTGTAGACGCAGCTCTCTGTCTACTGATAACTGACAGCTTTCTTTACACTGGCTCCATGTCAAACTGCAGTTCAAGCTTCTCATGATCACCACCTGATCTCTGCAGCATCACAGACCTGCAGCCATATCCACAGGTTTACTGGTGGTCTCCTGCTCCAGACTCTGGACAAAGAGAAGAAATCTGAGAGCTGACCTTAGAAATGTCTCCCTTTAGACATCTTACATGCTTTTTAAAAACTAGCAACAGGCACACTTGTTTACTGTTGGCTTTGTTTAGATGGTTCATTACTTCTATTGGGTCTGTATTTCATGTCTGTCTTTTATTGTGAATGGTGCTGTTTATACGAAGAGATGTCCCATTTACCGCATTTTAAAACAAGTGAACACCAGTGTTTTGGCTCTAATCATGATCTGTCGACACTGATGTAATGTGATTCACCAAACATCATCATCATCACATGATTTGTGCTCCAGTTTCAGAGTTTTCCCACTCTGCCTGAAATAAACCACTAAGTGCTGGGATATTTTCAGCATCAAGTTTGGGGACAGACGGCCGAGGCCTCTGTCCAAAAACAGCAGTTTACATCTGCCCACTGTGCGTGTCTGGTTGTCGGTCTCATTCCAAACGTCTTGGTTTGTGCAGCACTTTCAGAAGCAGTGTAGCCTCGGCTAAAGGTGGCCACCTCCTCTGATTGATGTGGTTCTTCTGTTTAGTTTGCAGTGTTGTAATGCAGCAGCTGCTGCTGTGCTTCCATCCTTTAATGAGACGGAAGTTGTTCTTTTAACGAGGGCAGTAAATGACGACAGCCACTAAGTTCAGTTTGATTCTCACATAAAACCTCTAAATCAGCGCTGGAGCAGGCGCCTGGATGAGGCCCAGAGAGAAACAGATGCACCTCTGCTGCTGAAAGTAGTGATGTGTAAATCATCAGTGTCCTGTATGACACTGACAACAATGCAGCAGCACTTATTTGATGTGATACCTCATCAGTTTAATTCTTTGTTTAGAATAAACTCATTTCAATCCTGATTCCTTTAAGTCTCTCTCTGTCTCTCAGAGCCCATGTGCTATGACTGGGGGGAGTCCAACGACGGGGTGGTCTCAGTCCTGGAGGGGGAGGCCGGTTGGCTCTCCTGTCCTCTTTTCTCTCATCCCTCCGTCTACAACTACAACTCCACCCAGAGCACCGGACACAACCTGTTCTGGTACCGCCTCCCTGAGGGCCATGACCTGGAGCAGCCAATCACATACAGGTACATCACACACTTAAACACACCCACCTCCCCCACCTTATACAGCCCCCAGAGCTCTGGACTCTACCGACAGCACACCTGCACCCTCCCACTGCGCTGCATTATGATGTGGTGGGAAGTAACTGAGTACTTTTACTCATGTACTGTACTTGTGTACAGATTTGAGCGACTTGTACTGCGAGTGCCTTCATCCTATGCTACTTTGCACTTCACTACATTTCTTACTGCACTACACTGACCTGACTGCTGCACGTTAAGATTTGATTTGAAAGCTAACTGAGAAAGAGCTGATCAGAGAGCGATGGTCCTGGTTGAGTGGGGGGAGGGGGTGTGGCTGTTGTCTCACTCAAACTGAGACAGTTGGACAGTAACTGGACGATGCGGTTGCCTCTAACGATTTCTCCTCCACAGAGGATATATGATGCTTCAGAGGCGAGCGGCTCGACTGGCATCACTGACGACTTCAGACCTTGTTCTAATGTTGCTCTAATTGAACTGTGTCTGATTTATGTGGGCCAGACTCTGGCGAATGATAACAATGGTTCTCCTCTGCAGCTCGCGGCTCAGCAATGGGGTGGCGCCGGGCCGCCGCCGCCGACTCGGGACTGTACATCTGTATGCTCCGGTAAGACACAGACACACAGTCTGCATTTTTATTGTTATCAACGTCTTTTAGCAGATCTCTGTCTGTTTGTCGCCTGGATTAAATGTTGTTTGTCAGTGTATCAGACAAACGCTCAGATTCTCACTGACGTTTGGTGACAGACACAATTTGACAAGGATGACGGCTGGACTGCAGGAGTGGATGGGACACAGACATCTCACTGGACAAAACATGTTCAGAGGTTCGGCCAGTGCCACCACAGGATTTCACACACTGCACAGTGACGACACCACTGACTGGTCTTATTCTTTATTCAATCAACCGATGCAGCTAAAAGCTGACGCGCAGCCCCCAACCCTGTTCAAGCTCTTAAACACGGATCAGCACACGCTGTGTGTAATCTGTCTCGTCCCTCACATGCAGATGTTTGTGTAGATCTTTTTCTAAGACACTATTTTCCAGGAGAATTTGGGATTTCACAGCTCTGACGTCCCAGGTTAACATCTGTGAGGGTCAAATTGTTGGTGTCCAGCTGGAGCCTTTTTGCCCAGTGTCTGACATTCTGGGACTAAACAGATCAGTGACCCTGCTGTTTGTGTCTCCTCTCAGTCAGTCAGGAGGTTCCTGCCATCTGTCACCGTCTGTACATCACTACTATTGTTAGGGGGATTTTTATTTTATGCACTTAAGAATGGTTTTATTTTATAACACACATAAGTTTACATACTTATATGTCACAGTTATGCTTATATAGTTATGAATATCACTCTATGTGTTCACTGAACCACTGGTCAAATATCTGCTGTGTGAGTCACTGAAACACTAATGCAACATCATAAGTCTTGTCCACTAAATTACTGAATTTCATTAGATTTATGGCTGTAGCTAAGGGAGCT